CCTGCTGACTTGAATGAAAACATCACAAACAGGACATCGTATTTTCCCCAGTTTTGACTGAGATTCATTAGCTGGTGTGTCAGCATCTGAACTTCTCATTATTTTTGTCATAACAAAAAAAAAGGCAGCTATCATATACAGAATTTAAGAAGATTAAGAAAAATTATGAGTTCCTTGGAGTTTGTAGTCATTTCCAGGACCCTAATACCAATCAAAATCCACACTATATACTCAAATAAACGCACTATTCATGAGTGCTGCTGCTACATTTTCAACATCCATCGCTTCTTTGCTTGTCAAAGCCAAAAAGAGCCCACTATTAACCTGAAGGACTCGTATCACCACATGATTCAACATGTTTACTAGCTATAGATGCTGATTTTGCCAACTGCAAGGTGACCATGCAAAGGACACTGCTAAACTATTCGTTTAAATAAACAAGCTTATGAATATGGCATATGGCATGTAGTGTGTGTGGCCAGATGTGGGAGATGAGTATGCCCGCATACCACGTCCAGCTTTCTACTAATGTGGGAGCTACATGCTAAAGCTGGTTGGTTCCACAGCTACAACATAGAGTAACTGTTACCTTCACATCCCACCAACCTTGCTGGTCACTCACTGGTCATGATTAGCACCCACCTTGTACCTCCCATTGCGATGTTTATGCATCTCCACAGACTCTCATTCAGAGACTGCATTAGAGGCAGGAACCTCATATAAATACTTTTGATAACCCTTTGAAGGAGCAAAACGGAGTTAGCTTTACGTTAGTGTTCATGCCAATAAAATGGGAATGAGCCTTGTAACCTTGCAAATGAAATGATTCCAGCTTACATGTAGACCTTATTTTGGAGGTCCACAGGGCCCACACAAGGGGGTCGCTTTAGCAGCTTTACAGCTTAAGGGCTTTATCTGTCTGCAATTTGCTGAACCCCTGCATTTGGGAAACTTGGTCCTACCTGTAAAATATTACTTGGGGAACCTGAGGAAGGTTGTAGCAGCACCACCTTCTCTCCAAACCCATCTCAAAAGCTGAAGAGTCAGAGGAAGGACAAATTTTGCCTCCTGTGACAAGTATGCACAATTGCCCTGTTTCCATACTGGTGGCTGAGCACACTAATCTGCAGCAGCAATGAACAACATGAGAGGAGCCCAACCTATCCTTAGGTATAATTCTGAGGAACTTTGGTGCTTTTCGAAACACTGAGAAATCCTTTAAAGCAACATGTAATTATATTGACAGAGAAGCTGAGAGTGCAATTTCCCATTGTGAAAGGTACACTTCGGCCAAAATCAAACCACAATAGATTTGCTCCATAGCATTATAGACTGCCTATAAAGTACAGGAATTTTTGCTGGGAGAAATTATACCTATGAGTATAACGTCACAGCAAAATGTCACATCGCCTAATAATATGACAGAGAAAACCAGCAATTATGCTGTTAACTTATAGTAAAAATCCACTACGTGTGTAAAAATGTGTATTCTTCGACCATATGAAATGTGTTATTTGCCTTCAGCATCAATTTGAACTATAGCACAGTTAAAAATGTGTAGTTTATAGGAAATGGGTATATTTACCTTACTGACAATTACACCTTCACTCTGGATATAACCTATGCCATCAACCTCTTTTTCCTTCTTTTTGTTAATTGGCTGACATTTCAGTTTCTGCCCAGCCGAACTTTGCCAAGGCAAGGAAGGTCATTTGAACATTTTGACCCATCACTACTTATGAAAACAACCCTTCATTGGAAAGATCTCCATCACACAGAAAACAGGAAACCAGGGGAAAATGTTGGCTTCATTCTGCTAGAGGTGCAATTTTGAAAGGTATCATAGGCCTGGGTTGTTTCTCATCTTGCTGTCCAATAGCTAGAATGGCCATATAGTCTCACAGAGGTTTTTCTCTAAGGTTTGACCCCAGAACAGAGGTGGATTTGGTACAAGCACACAGGAAACATCCTTAATTGTAAACAAATATGACTGCAAGCATAAATTCCAACTATTTCCTCTCTAAACTAGATGGGATGCTAGGATTACCACTTTCAGCCCTGTCCCTTTACCTCTACATTACTAGAGAAGCCAGGAGAAATCCAGCAGTGTTGATCAATGTTTGAGTCCCCTGAAGGCACCAGCCTTTTCCAGCCTGCATATGTATTAGGTAATGACAGTAAATTATGAAGTGAGAGCATCTCTTTAGCTTGTGGATGCAAATACCATCAGGGTTGGCCGGTTTAGGGGTGATTACTTGGGCTGGTGGACAAAGCAGGTGCTAGGAGGATGATGCCAGACTCTTCAGTGGTGCCCAGTGACAGGATGAGGAGCAATGGCCATAAACTAAAACACAACAAGTTTCACCTCAACATAAGGAACATCTTTCTGTTGAGGGTGGCAGAGCCCTGGAACAGGCTGCCCAGGTGGGTTGTGGAATCTCCCTCTCTGGAGATATTCAAATACTGCCTGGACACATTCCTGTGTAATCTGCTCTGGGAGGCCCTGCCTTGGCAGAGGGGTTGGACTGGGTGATCTCCAGAGGTCCCTTCCTACCCTAATGATTCTGTCATTTCTATCCCACTATCAAACACACAAAGAAGAGCTCAGAAGCACTCCAGAGATCTGGTAAATTCATCTCCCCTGTGATGCCTCACAGAAATAACCTTTAATGCACTGGCAAGTGCTCTTTAACATCTCTCCTGGGTGGAGGGTATGCCCTGGGTCATCCCCAGTTTTAATAGGTTCCTTTAGGCTCTCTTGTGAAATAAATATGTAGCACTTACTCAGACTCATAGCCTTGTAATCTAGTTGTAAAGAGTCATGAAAGGTCTGTTAAGCTTTTTGTGCTACTCTGACTTTGGGAATAAACGTTCAGGGGATGTGGACAGATGAACACAAAAACCTGCTGCAACATGACAGCTGAATTAAAGATTCAGAAGACACCCCTTTGTAACTCACTCCTGGGGCTGTGCTCCTGCCTCTCGCCTTCATCAAATTTGCAATTAGCTCACAAAAAAGGGTCTTGTAGTAAAACTGTTCTAAGTTATCTATTTCTACACCCAACTTTCATTCTGTGCTTTGCATAAATTATTTTGTGCATGAAGTAACTTGAAATGGGGGAATTATTACTACTTATCTGCCTGACTCACTCATGTAGTCTTAAACATGGAGAAGGACATTCATTAAAGGTTACTACTTTGAAATGATGTTTGCCATTACTTTTTCCCCATAAGACTGTTCTCACTAGGCTATGAGACCCCTGTATTTTGAGGTTTTAATTGTTTTGCACTGATTGTTCTTTGAGCATGAGAAAACTCTGACAATGCAAATTTAGCAAGCTAGGCTGCAATAAAGCACATCAAACTCAAATTGGTCTGGGTAGCTGCTACCTGATGCCTAGGTGGAAAGTACTGATATAGAACAAATGTTTTCCCTCAATTTCCTTCTGGAATGTCAATCACTTGAATGAACTTGTATCGTTTCAGTAAGAGGAAAATTCTTGAAATGCAAGTTATTGAGCACACTTCAGAACTCTGTGTTTAGGCTGGATTACCCAAAGACCTTCATGCTTTCCAGAAGCATGTCATACATCTGCACTTTTTGTGTCTACCAAGCAAGTTGGGGGCATTTCCAACTAATATTTCAGTAGATCAGGTGTCAAAAAACTTAAAAGCAGAGTCAAAGTACTTTAATTCTTTTCAATCTCACAGAAGAAAAACGACAGGAAAAGGGAAGAAAATAAACTGAGCCAATACTGGTTCTTGGTCTTAAGCTTTCTTAAAGAATCTTTAACATGGTCTTAATCTGTGATGCCAAGGCCAGGAGAAGCCTTGGGCCATCAGAAGCCCTGATGACAGTTCTTCTTCACCCCACTTGGTTGTTGGTTATTCAGCCACACTTGTACCACACATAAGCAGAAGACTCTGCAACTGCTCCAAGAAGTGTGTAGTCTAAGCAGGAGTGATGGAAAAAAAGTTTATGCAAGTGCAATGAATGCATTTAAATGAAACAATAAGATTGCATGGAATTAAACTGGTACTTTCTTTACTATTACACGAATGGTGACCTTCTGGTATATTGGCAACTGTACTATCTCATGTATGCTTTTATTTCTTCAGCAATAACAGGAACACAAACTTCAGGCCAAAAGAACATCATACTTCCTTTTTTCCTAGATAATCTTTCCAATTGTGTGACCCTATTACTGTCAGCCAAACTGTCACTGGGATATTTGGCACAACATGTTGTCTTCTATGAAATCTAGACACTGGTGTAGGTGGCTCCTGCATTATATTTCTAACACCAGCCAACTGTCCTTGCACAAGTCAGGATCCTTCATTTCCAGAGGACTGTGTTATGAGGCATGAATTCTCATATGAAACGGTTCCAAACACATCTTTAGTCCATTAGTAGTTTGTGCCAGCTACATTACAGTTCACTAAAGCACTGCAGGCTTCTAACAACTCCAACAAGTGGTCATATCTGCATCCCTGTGTCAGGACAGGGACTCTGTGCATGTGCTGACTTCATTCACATCTTGGTTGAGGACCATAATGCAGAACTGAGGTTGAATCATACTGGCAAGCCAGTAACAACATGGTTGTTGAAATGGTCCTGAAGCCAGTTTTGCACTGTGACCTGTCCTTTATGTTACAAGGTATTAGTGCAGAATATTTGTAAGGTACCTCAGGAGCCAAATTTTCACAAGATACAAATTGCAGCATCGTATCTTGAAAACCCACTTGTACAAAACAGCAGAGTGACCAGGCAAGCAGATGGATAGTGTGATTTTCATGTTCTACACAGGCCTGCTATAAAGGGTCCCAAATCTGCCTGTAGCTATGTCTAATTTTACTGTCCTTACCATAGTGAGGTACCATCTGTGCTAAATACAATGAGCCAGGGCTCCATGCACAAGAGCACAGGAGCTTGTGTTCATGCATCTAAACCCTTCTCACAAACAAAGGTGGTCTTCGTCATCCTGCCTGTCAGATACAATCACCTCACAATTCAGGGACATTTGTGGGAGACTGCTATTTGGGATGACTCAAATGTATGCTGGGGAATGTGCTTGGTGTTAAACAAGTCCGTGCTCACACTTCTGCTCTGGCTGTTTGGTTTGCTTGCATACTTCTACAGTCTTACACTGCTACCCCTACTGACAAGGGGTGCAGAAGTGATGTGAGAATCTTAGAATAGAATTGTATAATGGTTTAGAATCATTTGGATTGGAAAGGACCCTTAAGATCATTGTGTCCAACCCCTAACACTACCGCTACAAAATCCACCACTAAACGTGTCCCTAAGCACCACATCCACATGTCTTTTAGATACCTCCAGGGACGGTGACTCCACCACTTCCCTGGGCTGCCCTGCGTGTTCCAATGCTGAACAACCCTTTTGGGAAGACATTTTTCCTAATATCCAGTCAACAAGCCAAGCCTTACAACAAGGTAGGACTGGAGCTACAAATGAAACAGGCATTGCAGTCTCATCCTTGTCCTCAACACCAGGCTATGCTGCTAGAGAGCCTTCTTCTTTGAGTGTGTTCAAGAGGGTTTACTGCAGCTCTGACCTGTGCCTTCAAGGCCCACCTTTGCCCTACATCCAGTCATTTAAAACCAGACTCAAAGAGAGGAGACTCCTGATCTTGGCATTTAAACTTTTAAGTCTGTCTAGAGACTGTTTTTTGGCTCTTTCTGCAGCCAAATTTCTGTGAGGTGATAATCAATGCCTGGATTTATATCTGTGCTTTGTCAAGAACTGTACTAATGGTGAATCAGTAGCATCTACTAATCTGTTCTCTCTGCCACATATAGGTTATCCATGTAGATCCACCAAGCCCAGGACTTTGATTCATCACATGTATTCACTTAATGAATAATGGCCTTTAATTAAAAGAATTTATCTATCCACCTAAGATGCCTGGTGACTAATAAAGGCCCTAAGGAGAAGAAGTCTAACTGGCTAGACACAACAGAGTCTAGGGAAACATTCAAAGACAATATGGATCAAATGACATCTCTAATCAAATGATCATTAGCAGGAGCACTTTGTGTCCTCTTGCAGATCCTGATGGATCACTGTCCTTTACCCAGCTAATATGCTCTATTAATCTTATTCAAGAAACTATGTTTCACAGAAGGCTTTAAAACCAGGGCAACTCAGAACTTGCCAACTCGTAAGGAAAGCTCAACACGCTTATTTGGTAAGGTGATACTTTCTGAAGACTGGAAAAGTAAAAGAAAGCAAGTAAATGTCTTTTTCTACTGTGACATCAAGATGAGACTGCATCCCCATTTTCGCAAGATGATTCCTAAAAGCCAAGCTTACATCTCAATTTAATATCATGCAATCCAATAGAAGGCTGCAGAAAACTACCTACCAAGGCATATATTTCTTGCATGCACTGTCCTTTGTCCATAACCCTCCCATGCTCACAAGCAGCCCTCTCACACCCAGTCTTTTAACAGCGCCGGTGCTGACTAACATGCAAAGCGTTACAGGTAAGCCCCACAATCTCCTCTATGGACCAAGCTATGATAAAGTCTTTGTGACTACTTTAAAAGGTGACCCATGAAACAGCAGTACTGACACTGAAGGGGTTGCTTCCACAAAAGTTAAACAAGTATCTCTCTTCTACCCTTATCTGGTGTCCAGTGAGATGTTCATACAAATGGGCTGAAGTAAGGAAAGGATGGTACAGAGCATGCATGTGATAACATAAGGCCTATTATGGAATTTACTTTTTATCAGTACTTGAACATTTCAAGACATAATTCTGAGTCAGAGAAAATCCAGAATTTTTCAGCAAGAGGAATCTACCTAAGCTCCTGGTGGAGAATGGTACCCCATATGTGGGTTCTGCTTCAGTGCAGACCAACCAGAACAGAAAATAGGAAGTATTGCAAGTGCCTTTGCATTTATCTGACTTCCAGGACAACAGTATTTCTCTGAACTTTCAACCTGTTCAGATTACTAGTGACTCTACACACTCAGAGTCATATTGAGAATCCTCTTGGCAGAAAGGAGCACATATCAAGACAGGAGAGTGAACAACTAGAAATAAATTTCCATAGGGTCCCACAGGGCACTGCATACAATATATGGACTCCAAAAGGTACCAAGAGTTGCTGAACCATAAAGAAGGTACAGAGGAAAGGATCTGGGCCTCCAGGATCCTTAAATGAGTAGAAAAGTATACATAAAGTGGGTCAAAATACCAAAAATACCAAAACTTATTGAATAAAGTTCTCTCATGCTTCTTGAGACTTACATTAAATAGAAACAGCACTCACCCTTTGACCTGGTACACCAGGGATTCCAGGCTTGCCTTCCAGACCAGGCTCACCCTTTGAAAGTGAAAAGTTTTAGAAAGTTAACTGAGAAAGAAAAACTAATTAACTGTTTTACCATTTCCTGTCTGGTTTGTGCTACCATTACTGGAAGGCTACCTAAACAGCTCTTACCTGTTACGTTGTCCTGTGAGCAGAAGAGAATAAGAAAACAGGATAGAGAAATGTGACAATGCCCTGATTAAACACAGAGCGCACAACTGTAATTAAATCCCATATTACAATTAAAAACAGTTTTACCTAAATAATGCATCTTCACAATGCCATCAATTTTACAGACTCCAATCAATAACGAAACACAACAGACCATTCAAAGGTGAGGGAATACAGAGTATTTGCAAATGAGACAGCAGTGGCAGCCTCAACTGAGATATCCTGCAGAGCTGGGTTATAAAGTATAACTAGAATAACCTACAATTAAGTCAAAAGTAAGAATGTTGGCGTGTCTAAAGTGCTGCAAAATGTGTGTTGAAACGTAAGCACACACACCCCCCCAATTCTTGTTTTTCATCCACAAAATATTTTAGCCAGGACCTTGTGGCATAAAGCCAACCCCTTTTAGACAACCATTCTCTGACCTTCATTACATGATAGCTTACAACTTAACGGTTAGTGCTTCTTTGACATGTGCTGAATGTCCATACAGCTCTTCAGGATGTTAGAAAAGCAACCAGGGTCTACGTAAGAACAGCCTTGAGGAAAAGAGTGAAGAGAACACGAGGCTGGGGCACTGGTTAGATCATAGTGCCTGAATAATGTATAAGGTGGTGAGGCACTGGAATTGGTTTCCCAAGAAAGTGGAAAATGCTCCATCCCTGGCAGTGTCCAAGGTCAGGTTGGACAGAGCCTTGGGTGACATGGTCTAGTGTGAGGTGTCCCTGCCCACGGCAGAGGGCTTGGAACTGGATGATCTTAAGGTCCTTTCCAACCCAAACCATTCTGTGATTCTATGATTTTGCAAATATGCCTAATACCAGGCTGAATTTCAGTTTATGGGAATTGCAAGCAACAAGAGAAACAACTTACTGGAGGTCCAGGAAGTCCAGGTTGGCCTTGTGGTCCTCGTGGCCCAGGCATTCCCTACAGAAATGGGTTTTTATAAATAGCATTAATATATCTGTGTGAAAAATCATATGGGCACATTAGTCATATTGACCATCATGCAGGACCTATATCGCTCCTTTCCTCATAGGTCCTAAGAACCAGTGCAGAGACCAGCTGGTTTTCTCCTTACTCCTTCAGCTACTTGAACTATCAGCACTCGTTAGACTGCACAGACTGAACCACCCACACTCAGCAGGCATTTATCCATAAATGGCTGTTTGTTTTTCAAAGGTAGTAACTCTACCGAAGACTCAGGGTTATCCTGGATATTCCAGCTGTGGGGGTTGGGGTTTGGTCAGTTGGAACTAGATGATCTCAAGGTCCTTTCCAACCCTAACTATTCTATGATTCTATGATGGAGAAAAGCAATTCTTGCAAAAATAGCATCCACAGGCATTTCCCCTGAGCCAGCACAGCTGTGAAGTGCTTTAAATGATGTATGTCATTATATTAAATAACAGTTAAATACAAATTATGCACCTATTGACACAAAATCAAAATGTAAATGTATTTTGTTTATATGTAGGAGTATCAGATTGAAGTAACGTGCGTCTTGCTCCTATTTGAGTGCTCAGGTTCAGAGACAAACTCGTATAGAACTCCAATACAGTTTGACTTTCGTATTAACGCTTCCCTAGACTTAAAGATTTGTGTAGCTGACACTCCAATTTGAATTTAACATGAATGAGAAGTACAACACATCTGTAAAAGATATTGCCTTTTTTCCTGTTCTATTTTCTCCATTGTAAACGGTAAAACTTCTTGATGGTCTGAAAATGCTTCTATCCATCTCAACTTTGAAATATTATTTGAAAGCAAACTCTAATCTAGCAGGCAACTGAACTACAAACAAGTATCTTCACAATGGAAAAGTAGATACTGAATATCTCTTACTTGCTCTCCTTTTAGGCCTTCAGTAGGCACCTGCAATGAAAATGCAGAGTCATAAAGGGTAAAAAGAGGAAAGACAACACAAAAGGTGTCAGAGGTATGATGGTTCCCCACAGTGTATTTTCCTCTCCTCGCCATTCCCTTGAGATGCACACTAACTTCTACAGCTCCTCAAATCCTTCTGCAGGCTACTTACTATTTAAATAGCTCAGACTGACACAAGGTTTGCTCACACAGTTACTATGCAGTGATTTGTGTGGCTGCCTAAACAGTAAGAACTGAATTCAATATCTCATCAGTATAAGTTAGTAAATTCTTACTTTAAATTATAAAGATGCACTGAATGCAGAACCATCATGCAAATAGCAGGTTGACTTTGGTTATGGTGCATGCTAAGGTTGTTCTCCTCCCACAACCTGGAATGTCAGGCTCATTTCTCATGATTATCAGGGAGCTTCTCATTCTTGTCTTTAACACCCAGTCCTTCTTTGGCACAGTGCTGCAGTTAATGTTGCTGTTATCATCCCTTTAATATTTTCTACCAATAGCCCAGGGGTGCTTTTTCCTAATTTTAATCCTTTTTTTTAATGTAAAGTGAATATTTTCCAACTGCTTTGTTACCAGCCCTTGCAGAGCTCAGTTCTAGACCTCTCCGCGGTAAATCTTCTTTCTCTTAGAGACAACTTCTTCATATAGACAATACTAACCTCTGGATATGCCTATGTCCCGGGCATCAGCGAAAGCATCACTGAAGGCAGAGGGATGTACAAAGTCATATAAATCAACTCCCCTCTTCTATTTTCTCTGTTTTCTTTTTTGTCCATATCTTTGCTCTCCTGATTGCCATACATCAGGTCCTTGCTGTCTCATATTCCACCAGGACTTTTTAAGATAAAAGCCAAGGAAAGATCATTCCCTCTCATCAGAAATCTCCTTTTGCTTCTCCCATCCCAACTCTCACATCCAGCCCATGACAAACGCACTCAGTAATTCAACTCAACTCTGCACTTTGATTTCCTTTTATAACTTTCACAGGCTCCATTTTCCAAAGGCCACAAGGCATCAACTCAACAACAGTCCTGGAAGCCACACAGTCCTGTCACACTGGTGCTCTCTCTGATGCACTTGAGGCAATGCTTTCATTGCCTCTTCAAGTCCTGATCTTCACATTTCAAAATCTCCCAAAGTTGGTGCGTGGCATCTCCTTGTTGTAACATTGAAGAATATCTCTTATTTAATAAAGTCTTCACACTCCCAACTTCCACCTTCTTTTCTCATGCAATAATGCCTACAATGCTTGAGAAAGCTAACAACCAAGAAATAAATTCTTACTAAAGAGCCAGGCAGTCCTGAAGGTCCTGGTTCACCCTGCAGGGAAACACAAAAGAAATTTAAAAACATACCATAACACAGCACACAACATAGCACAATACATAACACAAACCAAAACCAAACTTCTGAGCATATTTTCCAGCTGCTGTTGTACATTTTTATTTCCAGTACTATCCTGTAATTAATAGGCATGAACATGCAATCCCAATTAACTCTGTTTTCTCTGCCCTGCAGATAAATGCATGTAGGAACTTGTGTTCTCTATTACTGTGATGTTATACATCGATTTGACTGACTTAAAATAAATGATGCACTGGATGCACCATACCATTAAATTCAAGCTTCAGAAGTCTTATAATTGGCCTACATATACCACACAAATAAACCTGACTGATGCTCACATCCCTAACAGACTGCAGGATGGATATTTAGCGGCCAAAATGCTTTTGTTTGTTAATGACCAAAATACCTTTGCAAAAAGAAAATAAGGTGAAAATGGTACCATTTTCCCTCAAGTGATTTTACAGAGCAGAATCATACTATTAGTGTCTGCAGGACACTGAGATGCTGCACCCTCTTTACGTGATTTATTGCCATCCAGGCTATCAATTTGTTCCAGCCCATTTTTCTCCAGCAGTGTCCATCATTTATAATGCTGCAAGACTAAGCATCCAGAAGGTATATTCTTTACATTAGGTACAAGCTAATGCAAAAATCATCATAAAGCTTCCTTTCATGCTCTATTTATTCATTACTCATGTAGGTCTCTGAATGACCCAGCATATCTTTCATGCTCTTTCCTCTTAAGGCAAGTTTAATCACTATTTGTTAGTTATTCTAAAGAGGGTCCATACTGTGCCAGAAGGACTGGAGACACGCATCAGCTGCACTGAAAGTAGTTGAGCAAGGAGCTCAACATCTGAAAGCACCAAATGCAGCCACTTCAGAGATAGGGATGAAGCGTTATGAACTCAAGACTGCTATCTACTGCCCCATCCCTGGCAGTGTTCAAGGCCAGGTTGGACGGGCCTTGGAGCAACCTCCTCTAGTGGAAAGTGTCCCTGCCTGTGGCAGAGGATTGGAAGTAGATGATCTTTAAGGTCCATTTCAACCCAAATCATTCTATAATCCTATTATTCTCCGAAGAAGGAATGCCTTTCCATTCATGCCAAAGAAATAGGTAGGAAATACCAAAACCACAATGTCACCTCCTCCAGCACAGAGGGAAACAAAGGCTGGCCTGGAGACTCTAACAACCCCATAAAATAATGAGGTCAGAATTGCTGCTGAGGGCAGTGAATTATTATTTTGCAGGTAAGAAAGTTGGGCTCATTTAATTGGCTCTTTCTGAGTCAATTCCACTCTTCCTGCGTCAAAAAAATAGCATCTACACAAAACCATACTGTCATTTCCACCCACTTTTCTTAGGTAAGGGAGATTTCTTAAGCCAAACTGCTCTCTACTTCCTTCTGCTACTTATGACAGTTAAAGTAAGAGCAGAGGAACTATGACCAGACACAATTTGACCTTCACTTATACCAATTTCACACTGAAGCAACATCAGAAACAAAATGTGAACATTTAAATGAATATAAGTTTCACTTATACACAAATGAGACAAATATTAGACCAACATCCCTGGTATTTTTGGCACTGGGGGGCCAAGGAGCAATTAACAAAAGTGTGTCCAGACCTCTCCTGGGCATCCCATTCCAACTCACCTTTTCTCCTTTGGTCCCACTGGCACCTGGAGGGCCTGGGCTGCCAGCAGGGCCCTAAAACAGGTAGAATGGAGACAATAATGTCTGTTTTACATAATGCAGGTCATTAGTTGCCATTCCCTTAAAACACAGGAGAATCATAAGGCTGCATGTTTGGGTATCATCAGCACAAACAGTTATGTCCTATTGTACTAAGGAAGAAGCTAGTACAACACACAAGGCTGCTTTGGCACTTCTGCATAGACAGGAAGGGGAATAAGGATGGAGATGCCCCAGCAGCCACAATAGTAGCAATCCATTTTCAGCCAGTTCAGGAGGATTGCAGTTCAGGGCATACATCAGTGTCAAACACAACATTTTCAACAAAATTTAGGCATGAAGATTAGCTCACTGCTGGGTGCCTAGACATAAAAAAGGCAGAAGAAGCTTCAATAAAACCCTGTTTCTGTAATAGGGTGCCACTTGGAGAAATTGATCCTTAGAAGTAATAAACTATCAGCATCCACCTTTCACATCCCTCTGCAATTTCTCACTTCATCCACATTTGGTGCAAGTAGAAACCAGTACTATAAACAATGTAATGCGCATAGTGAGCATAGTTCATTGTGACTCCAGTGCATCTAGCAGCGGAAAACACTTCCATCTTATAAAGACAGTGATAAACACTAACTAGACAAATACTTTTCATTATAGGATAAACTGTGACTGAGAAACAGAGCAGAGAGAAAGTGATGATTAACTGTCAAATCCCCTGTGGAGAAGCAGAACATTTAGTGTAAAAATGTCTATAACAGAGAGGAAGATGCAGATTCAACAAAGATTAAGACTGCTGATGACACTATACCTTGCCATCTAAATACAAAGGATGTGTCCGATATGGAAACAAAAACACTTTCCAACAGAATCAAGCTGAAACTTCGGCTGCTAAAAGAGCAAGCGCAAGGCCCCCAGCAGCACACGGTTGCAAAGCACATTCAAGTCAGACTTCAGCAGATGCTTTGCTGGATTAAATACCTGAAGACAAACTGTACTGAGGATTCAACTGCAGCTCTTTCAGCTCTGCAACTACAAAAATGTGCCTTCGAAAGATCCTTCCCAGAGAGGGAAATAGCATGGACAGCATGAATAAGGTGCAGAACCAGCAAGCCTGAAGGCTTCAGGCTCAAAGGTGACAATGATGAACTGCATGGCTTATGGCAAATCACTTTTTAGCCTCTGCTTCTTACTCTGTCCATTACTATTTAGACCAGAAGATCCTTGGGAGTAAAGGATGCTCTCGTTAAGTATCATAACCTTAGTAATGAAAAGTCTCGTTGGATCTGCAGATAGTTTTAGACAAAGCATTATCTGCTGAATCAGCAGAAAAGTATTGATCTTTAGACCATTTTCTGCCTTCAACTCATCTTACAAATGTAAATAGTTTCAAGCTTTTCTAATTAAAACCAAACCAAATATATTAAATCCAGTTGTATCCGTTTCATCTTGTGGAAAGGAAAAAAAGTTTAGAAAAATTGGGCTTAAACAACTGAATTTTTATATGTTCTTTCTTATGTTTTTAATAAAAATTCAGACAAACATCTAAACTATCATGTTTGAAGGACTGGCATTTCCTTGAAGTGTATATTCCATTACAATTTAAAAACAAACAAAAAACCTGTGCTAACAAAGATCTTTAGAATAAAGAGTACAAAACCTGACAATGCAGCAGGGTCCTGCCATGGCTCAGCAGCCACCCAGGATAAAAAAATCACAGTCTTAGAGTCCATTTCCACTAATTCCAAAGAAAAGCCTTCAGTTGTTGAGCATTTGCCACGTACCTGTTTTCCCTCCAGACCTGGCTTTCCGGGGAACCCATCTAGGCCTCGCTCTCCCTGGGAAAAGAAGAGAAAGAACGACTATAACTCAAACCCCTGCTGTTAAAGTCACCATTCTGCAAGAGATGTCTGTGTTATCCACTCCAAGAGTAAGGAATAAGGAGAGAAACTCAAGCCAGCTCAATAGAGAAAATGACTAAAGTCCCCACATCTGTACTACGAAGAGTTGCTACAGCCAGAAGCTGTTGTGTGCTGTAGCTTTCCATGTCACCATCCTTCCCCTCTCTGCTGAGATGGATTCATGTAAACTGGACAAAGGGCACCACGAGAACATCAGCTCTTACAAAAATAATGAATCCACAATCAAGCAACAGCTCTTTTTTGCCCAGTTAAGGAAAACCCTTCATTTTTCACCCTTGCTTTCTGTAACCTGATGGAACAATTAATCCATTCCTATATGTCTCCAGAGTTCGACAGTCCACTAACTCCACATGAAATGTATTCCACCACTTTATTTTCAATACCTGAAGATATGTTTTTTCTCCATATAACTAAACCTGACTTTTGCTTGTTAGAGTTTCAGGCTACTATGTCATTCCTTAACCCCCTACAGAGAACAGACTGTTCCCTTCATCTTTACAAAGGCCTTTTATGCATTTGAAGTCTTACAAAACTCTCCCTTCAAACCTTTCCAGCCTAAACAACCTCAGTGCTTTCAACTTTTCTCCATGGGCACATTTTTCAGACCTCTGATCACCTTTATTGCTTTCATTTGTGCACTGTCCACCTTTTCCACCGTAGCTAGGTGCCCGAAACTGGACACAGCTGAGGCTGACTTTGAACAGAAAGATTATTTCGTGTTTTATAGAGTATTCTCCTATTTAAATCCCAGGATAATGTTTACTTTACCCCAAACCCCCTTCCAGTAGGACAGCTCCTTAAGTTGTTCCCAATCTGTAGCAGTATGTAATTCTCCTACAAGTATGAAGCATCCTGCAGTTCCTCATTCAAGCTTACTATATACCATATTTTGTAGTCCAGGGCCTTAATAGAGATAACGACCAGATCAGTAACATACTCTGCTGAAATTCACTTCTCTCTGATTGTGGCCTTTGTCCATTCTAGCCACTTTAGGTTAAATCTCGTTGAAATAGGGACTTTCTCTGTAAAGCGTTAAAACACTCTAAGATGAAACACTAATTTTGCTCGTATCCCACACACAGAGTTGGATATAAATTATCTAATACACACAGTACCACTGTTAGCATAAATGTGCATGTAAAAACAAATGCTACAAGTACAAGCAGTGACAGCAAAATATTAGCTTTACTTTTTTCATGTTTCAGTCATTTGAGTTCTGATTACTGTCCCCCAGGATCCCTCTTAGACCTCTGTTATTGTCCGCAACCCCACACTTAGAGCACTGGGTTTAATTAGCTCCTTTTGAAAATTCCATTGATCAGCAAATGGTTTTGTAAATCAATTTCTTTTTCCCCTTTAGAAAATCAATCAGTATAGTAACACAAATGTTATTTCAAAGAATGATATCAGTGGGAGCTGTACCCTACAGAAAGCGGCTGAAACCCAGTGTCAGACATCCAGATCTACTTGGTTTTGGAGTCATAGTTTCCATATTAATGGTTCTCTTTGCACTGAACAACAAGTATCCTGACTTTCAGTAAGCAACAGTCTGGTTGATTGCTGGCAAAATGTGAAGTGCATTCCCAGGAGACATTTTAACATCTACACACTGCAGAAAGGAGTACTTCACACATTCTGTTTTAGCTGCCAAAACAGAAGAGTCTTAGTGCTAGTAATGGGGGCAGGGAAAGGCAAATATGCTATTTATACAAATGTATAAAGTGAAAACATTCCAAATAACTGTGATTTCAGTTTCCTCTTCAGAAAAAGCTGTCATTATAAATATTTTTATTATTATTTTCTCTATTCTTTAATAAAAAAAAGGCTATTTAGAGAAAGTTTGGGGGGTTTTGTGGGTTTTTTTTTTGGGGGGGGTTGGGTTATTTTGTTTTGTTAATTTGTTAAAAAATAAATCGAACATAATAAAAGTTTTATTCTCAAATTTTCACTTGAAGAATCCATTTGCTTTTCCTGTGCACTACTGGGTTTTTTCTTGTTTTTAACCAATAAGCAAACAGGGGAAATCCCAGTTCCACAGAAACTTTAGTTCTGTTTTCTGACCTCTAACAGTTAGAAAGTGTGATGATTTACTGGAAAAATGGTTCCCCGAGAGTCTGAAGGTTCCTGGGAAAAACTGATGGAGAGCAACCCCACTGCATGGAGGGATCTGGCAGCAGCAGGCCAGCCTTGCTGCCTCCTTACATGAGCTCTTCTCCAATACAACAGACAAGGATTTACAGGATGAACACATGTTTATGCATCAAAAGCAATGCCTCGTGTCATGCTGAGCTGCTGTTTGTGCCTAAATTAAGATGCCAAGTATCACATACATACATGGCTTATCTTGACAGCCAAGTGCACCATGCTTATCTCTGTCCTGGAGCCTGCTGTATGCAAAGGGACATGAGATATCACTCATATTGTGCAGTGGTTCCCCTAAAGTGCAGGTGTAAGTGGTGCTACTGGATTTGGGAACCTATAAAGCCTCGATATTTATATCTGAGTTTCCAGGATATAAGAATGCAGCACCAAGATGTATTATTGGATACTTAGCCTTTTTTTGATATGAGGGTGCAGATTCGATATACCAATAACTCAGTGAATGAGCCAGCGCTCTCATCTGATATAATAAACACTCTTCTCCTCAGGCACAAAGAAACACAGGTTGTGTAGGTGTCAGTATTCAAGTTACAGGCTAAAGAGCAGACAAGGAAATATTTGGCCTGCCGAATTTACACCCACTGCTTTCACAGTAGTACTGGCTGGTTGAAGTTAAAGCAATGGCAGCGGGTGCTCCAAGACCATCATTAAAGCTGGGAAAAATCAAAGTACAATTGTTGTAGCAGAGATTTGGCTGCTCCCAGGAAAAAAAATACATAAAAGGAACTCTAATTGTGCATATCCTTTTAATGAAACAACCCCTAATTCATTTCTTCCCCACTTTAATCTTCCTCTAGCTTAGTCAGCTGCCTGCCCACACACAGCTCCAGCTTCCTCTCCCATCACAGTGATGTCAGAAAGATGGATTTTCTTCCGGGAGCCAAATATTCCAGCAGATTAGGCAATCTCGCCTCCAGAAAAACAGTGGCTAGACACAACACACCGAGCCAGGCCTGCAAAGGGCTGAGGGAAAAACAAGGGGAAGATAAAGTGCGAGCCAGTCCTTCGCTCTAGCTGCGGCAGAGACAATAGAGAATGCAAAACTTGGTTGTGGCTACTTCATCATAAATGGCAAAATGGACACTGGGAACTGGCATCTTGACACATACTAAAGCAAAACACAATATCTCACCCTACAAGTCTGTTGATCATTCTTCCCAGTAGGCAAAATCTTGGTGTAAATCTCTGGGTTTCTTCTTCAGAAAGAAATGGAAAGTAAGAAATGGGAATAAGGCCATGCTAATAAGCTGATTACTCCCTCCTTTACACAGACTGTACATACAGCCAGACATCACTAAAGACAGCTTGAACACAGGCAAAACTACCAGACCAGCACTGAGACATCAGGACCACCTTGAGACATAAGCAAGACGTGACATTGCTCAGGGCTGCAAGCCACTCAGAGCTGGCAAGAAAGGCCCTGCTGCCTGTTCTGTCTGTGTGAGAAAAGGGGTAACATGGGTCGAACAGAGTCTGGTGATCCCCCATCTCCAGCTGCTTGCTGGGCACAGGGACAGCAAAGCACATGTTTGATGGCATTACTGGGGAGCATCAAGCGGTGCCTGGCAGGTCTGCAGCACCTGAGGTCTCTCTGAACACAGTGATCAAACTGAAATAATAAAGACTTTGTGCCTGCCCAGGTCTCCTTCTAAATGCTTATTCCAGGTATAACAGGCTTTAGGTCTCTTGAACCGTGAATGTGGTTCTTTAAAACAGCTATTCCCAGATAGGAGAGAGCAGAGAACTGGGAAGCAGCATCAGCTGGATGAAGTTTTTAACATGGAAACTACCTGGTACTTACTATTACTGAGCTTATTGTGATGGGAGAAGGCAGAAACATAGGAAGTTGGATAATTAGAGCATCTGCAGTGAGATGGGGACGTGCTGAATGCAGTCATGGTCATCAGTAGCCAGTGGTCATCACAACTCTCAGGTTATGCACACAATGTTGACACCCCACTATACCCCTCCCAGTGGCATACCTTCACTTCATTCCTCCATTCCTCCATCCCTGGCTGTACACTGACAAGAAGTCCCTAAATGTGTGCACACCTCTAGCCATAAAGCCCTCCTGCATTCCCATAGGAGGTCATTCCCAGATGGCAGCCAGAGGTGCAGCACAGTGAGGCAGCTCCATCGTCCATCACCCTCCAAAGCTGCTTGCCTGGCAGCCTGCACCACCAGACGGGCAAAGGGCAAGAGCAGCCTGGTTTCTCCTAGCGTGCATCAGGAATACCTTGTCTCCTCGTGTTCCCTTTTCTCCTCTTTCTCCTTGTAGACCCTAAAAAATAGAAAGAGATCATAAAGGTCAATCCAAGTAGAGGCATAGTTATCTCCTCTAATCAGTCACCAAACCACTGTTCATGTCTGCACAATCTATTGAAGTGAACTTCAGGGACATTTCTCATGTTGCCAGTTCTCAAAGTTGGCCCCAAGAGTGGTCTAAGCAGACTTCAGAGCAGGGATGACCTGTCGGCCCAGGAACGTCTGTAATATTATATTGCCTACAAACACAGGACCCTCCTGCCAACACAGTGTGGAGGGACAGGGAGCACACCACAGCTGCAGATGGTCTGGAAAACAACCAACGCTCTGCATTTTTCATGCTGCTCGTAAATGATGAGGACTTTGGTAGAGGACAATGCTAATGGAAAAACCTGTTGTCTGAACAAGCAAGAGTGCCCATTCCTGGTGGGTTTCAATACAGGAGCTAAGCAGGCAGCAGGAACTTGACAAATGCTAGATAATCCCTGTCCTGGAGGCCCAAGCACATCTTTGCACTGTGAAACCAACAGCAGCATTCATCCAAACTGCAAAATTCATCTCCTCCCAGGTACACAATTGCTGAGGCTTAGTTTGATGAAAGACAGTGATGCTAACATAGGCAATGGACTCAATGTGCAGGAACAAGTTTCACCTTCCCTTGACACAGCAAACACCTTGTATTTTACCTTTATTATAGCAACTGAGCAACCAACTAATAGTTATAGACAGACGAATATGTTCAGTCACTAATGGCCTCTTTAAAACTGCCAAATCTTAAAATGATTCTTATTCTAATAATACATCTGTATTTAAACTTCAATGTATTTTACACTACAGTGAAGACTTACCTCTAAGCTAATGAGATCTACATGTCTGGGTTTATTTGGCCACTAGGATGATTTACATAAATAGCATATTCAGATCTCAGGCCATGGTTGTCTGTGAGCAAACTCTGCACAGCCCTGTCCTTCTCTGACAACCCAAACTGAGCCTGCAGTTTCCCACACTGCAAAGAAATAACCCCGCTATTTCCAAAGAATAAACGGCAGGAGGTTTAAAAATATGACTCCTTTAATACATTAATAACTATGGGGACTATGTATAGACTGAGTAGATTATTACTGCATGCTCCTCCCCAGCAGCAGAAGCCAAATGTTGGTCTTATGGTAGAAACGGATAGGACCTTCAGTAATGGTGCATCACACAAGTGCTTTGTTTGTCACACAAAAAGGTGACTCAAGGAGCAGGAAGGAAATGTTCTCACAACCTTGTCCATATATCTCATTAATATTGAAAGAGATCTATCACATTGGCAGGTAATGCCACCCCTATCATCATCTTCAAGCCTAATACAAATTCAGCCTTATACCATACATGAAAAGAGCATGCAGAAAGACATGAGAAAAGACAAAAGTGCTCCAGCTCTTTTAAATACATTTGACTTCATTGTAGTGAGTTGTAAAACAAGCCTTGGCTGGTACACAGAAATCTTTCAGTGCATGAGCACATCTGGTAAGTCACTACATGATGTGCATCATAGAAGAGTTTAGGTTGTAAGGGACTTTTGAAGTTCCCCTAGTAGAGCATGCAGAAAGACATGAGAAAAGACAAAAGTGCTCCAGCTCTTTTAAATACATTTGACTTCATTGTAGTGAGTTGTAAAACAAGCCTTGGCTGGTACACAGAAATCTTTCAGTGCATGAGCACATCTGGTAAGTCACTACATGATGTGCATCATAGAAGAGTTTAGGTTGTAAGGGACTTTTGAAGTTCCCCTAGTCCAATACCCTTGCATTAAGCAGGGACATCTTTAAGTAGACGAGGTTGCTCAGTGATCAGTGAGCTTGAACACTGCCAGGGATGCAGCATCTACTGCCTCTCTGGGCAACCTGTTCCATTGTCTCACTATCCTCATAGTGAAGAATTTATTCTTATTATCTAATCTGAATCTACCCTCCATCATCTTAAAGCCATTCTCTCCTGTCCTATCACTACATGCCCTTGTAAAAAGTCCATCTCCAGGTTTCTTCTAGGCCCCTTTTAGTCAATGGAAGCTGTTCTAAAGTCTCCCTGGAGCCTTCTCGTCTCCAGGCTGAACCAGCCCAGCTCTCTCAGCCTGTCTCCAGAGCAGAGCTGTTCCACCCCTCAGAGCATCTCTGTGGCCTCCTCCAGACCTGCCTCAACAGGCCCATGTCCTTCATATGTTGTTTCCCCAGAGCTGATCACAGTTCTCCAGGTGAGGTCTCACAAGAGCACAGTGTAGGGGCAGGATCCCCTCCCTTGACCTGCTGCTCATGCTCTGAGGCTGCAGCCCAGGACACGGTTGGTTTCTGGGTTGTGAGTGCACACTGACGGGTCATGTTGAGCTTCATCAACCAACACCCCAAGTCCTCCTTATTGCTGCTCTCAATCCCTGCATCCTCCAGCCCATATTGATACCAGGGGGTGTCCTGACCCAGTCAGGTGCTTAAACCTCAGAAAATCCAATCAGCCTTTAGAGGCTGTCTCCATAATTGCCACAGTGAGACCACAAGACAGAGAAGTTAATTGACAGAATCTGATTTATTTTGGTCTTGCTGTCTGCTCATTCAAGGCAGATTTGTCTTCGAGCCTAAAGGCTATTCCCTGACAGTTTTGCAATACAATTGGAAACTTGCTGAGAGGTAGGGTTTAGGGGTTTTTTTGGCTTTATGATGAAGTTTTCAAGCACCGTATAAATGGTGCATCAACACAGTGGAAGCATCACAAAATCACTGGCTGTTACCTCAGTAATCAAATCATTTCTACTGACATCTCTCTGCTGTCTACAGGTCTGTTGTTTAAATAAATCAGAAGAAAATGAAGTCAAGAAAATGTCTCTATTTGGACATGGTAGAGATAAGTGGTCAGACATACACTATATTGCTTAATAATAATGATAAAGAAAAATATAGCTGGAAAGAACACACCGAAGTAGTAAAGAAAGTTTACAGAGCATTAAGAATGTACTAAAAGCCATGACTTACCGGTGCACCCACGTAGCCTTTGATTCCTGGAGGACCCTGTTTCCCCTCGGATCCCTGGCAAGGAATTGAGATACAGTAAAACACTAGAAACTGTCTCACATAACAAGAATAAAATCAGTTATTCAGAGATGTAAGTTGTATTTATGGGCTCACAAGAGGCTATTGAAGCTTCTCCACTGTCTCAGTGCTAATACACAGAGCGGGGTCTGACTTTCCAGCTACTTACCCAAAGTGATACCCCAATGTTTTCTTCTGTCTCTAGTTTTATTCTCTGCTTTCAGTCTTGCCCTGCAAAGGCAAACTGTCCCATGAAAATTCCTCTACAGGTTATTTCAAAGGCTTTGGCTGCATCAGTTGTTGCCTGCCCATTACATGCAGGGTGATTGAGCTCTGTCTTGGCTCCTGAACACAGTGACAGTGGAACATAGCACAGGCATACGTTGCTGCAAACACTGAAGCAAAGGCCATGTCCCAGCATAAATGAATCACAGACTTCAAAATATCATATATTTTGAAGAATAAATGAAAAGAAACAGATCAGAACTATATTCTCCAATGTTTCTTTTCAGCAGTGGGAGAAATGAGTCCTTCAGCTGGCTGCGCACTGACTTTCCCCGGAGACATGGAGAGCACTCTCATTGTGTGCTTTTGTGTGGTTTACAATGCCTGAAAATGGTCTGCATCCTCAGCTGAACACCCTCAACCCTCAAAACCACTCTAATGAGACAGACTGGACCTGAAAGGTTGACCACAACAACTGGTTTGGCATCAGCTGTCACCTATGACTGATTCTTATCTCACTTCCCTTCCCACCCAGTTAACTTTTGTATTGGGTGGCTGTACTGGATAAAGCTTCAAAACAGATCAAGATTTTAATTTTAAATCACTTCTGCATTTCATATTAATAGATATTTTCTTCTTAAAAAAAAGGACAAAAAAGCAGACAAAAAAACCCCACAACCAAATTAAATGAACCCCCAAGATGTATTTGCAATGAATTATTAGCAGAACATCCCTGTTTACACTCACCTTAGCCCAAATGATAATCTCATGTGGAGCAGTTGTTAAGCACAGACCTGGCAGCCTGGCTGATCTGTAGTTGGCCAGTGTTCCACCACTGTTTTAAAGAATGCATTCCCCATTTCCAAAACATTCCCTCTCCCTTGGCCAGAGAGGACTTGACTTGCTAAAGCAGATGAACCTGTGCCCTGAAGCTTGTGAGTAGTTCACAAAAACTGGCTGAACCTTTAAGCATGGAAGCAAATAACATGGCAAACTAGGGGGGATTCACAACTCACAAACCAGTTAGCAAGAGCTGGGTTTAAGCACAAGCAAAGTTCTAGGGATCTTCACAACATCAGGTGCCTGAGGACCTGCAAGTTAAGGAAGTAGGACAAGTCCTCTAATGGCAGCAGACATGCTCTTCCTGCAGCCTGCAGAAAAATACTACTATCAAAGAAGGTAAAACCTATAGAGAAATAAAGGCCTGCTCCAAATTGTCCAAATTATCAAAGTCCAACTCAGTACCGTTACATAAACCATGGTAACACTCAGCAAAAGTTACAGACAGAGAAACTGGGTTTGTCTGAATGACAGGACTTGCTGATCCCACTCAAGGCGTGTGCTGAGATCATGTCTGGTAAACCAGAGAAGTGTGAGACATTTGACAGCTGAAGCAAACAAGAAGGGAATTTGTCAAAATGAAACTCTTACCTAATACTTCAGATTTCAAAGCCTTGATGTTTTTTCCCCTCTGCCTCTGTTTTTTCTATCAAGTGCAGATAACTGTCAGTTCAGATGGGCATGTTACAGTTCTGTCAGTGCCACAGCATTGACAGCCACAGAAAATCCCATTAACTGTTTACTAAAAATATGGGGGGAAAAAGAAGGAAAAGGTTGAGTATTTGCTACAGGATTTCACAGGCTAAAGGGCTTAGTCTCAAAAAACTCAGGCTTTGTTTCACTCGTACAATATGGTGAGGGACCTGAGCTATGGCCTTTTTAATCTGGACCCACTTACTCCAATTAAATTAACCTGCCAGGTCCCATGGGTTATGTGGGACCATTCTCCACTGACCAGTGGCTATTTCTTGCCATCTCAGTCTACAGTGACATCTTCTATAACCAGAAGCTCCAACACTGATTAGCACAAAGCTGACTGTTTAGAGCTCTTTACTTCCACCAGCTCATAGCCAGCAAGTTCATACATTCTTCATGGTAAGCAATGAGGTCTACCCAGCAAATGGAAAAGAAAACAGAACAACAAACACATCAAAAACCCAACACATTGTTATGATGAAGACACTGAGCTAGAAACAATCTCCCCTGGAGACATCACTCAGCAGCAAAAGCAGTAAAACCAGAGATGACAAACAGGCCATTTCACTCCTGTAACCCACACATAGAATCATAGAATCAACTAGGTCGGAAAAGACCTTTAAGATCATCAAGTCCAACCATTACCCCAGGACTGCCAAGATCACCTCTAAACCATGTCACTGAGGGCCTCAATGTGTACCCTAATGGTGTCATCATCCATTAAGGTACCTCTGTGGACTGAAGCCCTATTACCAGAAGTCTGCTCTACCCTTACCTGTCCTACTAGAAGCATCACACAGTGAATGAGAGCTGTGCAAGCTGCAAGGCACCTCCTTAGAAGAGAGTTCTGGCAATTCCCATTGAGGCAGAAGCCTGGAAATCCCTGAGCCAAGCAGATAAACAGGGGGCTGAGATTTCTGGGGTGCACATACAACTGCTGAGCATGCACTGTGCTTGCCTGGCTCCATGTAAATGAAGATGGACTGAGGCAGGAAGGACCAAATCCCAGCTAACCAGAGAAAATGCAAGGGAGTGCTCCATGGAGCTTGGGGTGCTTGGGGTGCAGCCCAGAGCCACTGTATTGCCTAGCCCATAGTGCTGAACTTCTATTCAGCATTGCCTCATTACTTGGCTGGACTTTATATGCCTGATGATTCTGGTGGGAAATATGGAGCACTGTGCAGGATCAAGCCCTTCTGGAGGTAGATATAGATGCCTCAGTTCAGCTTGGTTTGTAAAAGCTTTGCAAAGCAAGGGTGAGAAACTGTGTACCTCAAGGACCCTCATATAGCTTACTGGTTTGTAATACCACTATGGGAAGCATGCAGGAAAGAGATAAAACATGTATTTGTGTCATAGAAGAGATGCAGCTGACAGGCATTAGTGGGTGATGAATTCAGTTCATTTCATCCACTCCCAAATCCCACTGAAGGACAAAACAGTATCCACAGTGCCTCCACTCAGCTCAGCCCATCCTTTGCTGAACACGCTGCCTGCAGCTTCCACAATCAACCCCTTCATGTTGCTGAAGGCAATATGGGTCCCACAGAGAGCTGTGGGATGGCTACCAATTATTGTCACTAATCCACAAGCACACCATTAGTTCTGATACCCTCAAAAGCCTCAGAATAGCTGAGGAACCTAGAAGGACCTGTATAAATAAAGTCCTTCATTAAGTCCTCTCAAAGAGAGCCAAGTGACAATCAGGACTGTATCTGGAAAGGTGTTCAGGTACTTAATTCCCGTGTAAGAACAAAGGTGAACTCAGTGGGAGATTTAGATGACCTAATATGGCTCCTCCAGAAAGATGCACTTCTCAAAGGTTGTTAATTGTACAGGAACAGAATGAGTGAGAAACTTGGGCAATGAATCTGTTGTCCTTGCAGCACCTTTCATAGGCAAAGCTGACCTTGCTGTGTGTGATGCCCCTGGAAACACACTTGTCAATCTAGTGCACCATCTTCTTTTTATGCTATAACAAGACTGAAATCAAAGGAGGGGTAGTTATCCCCTCAGTAACCAGGGAACAAAGCAAGAAGAACTGAGGCTTTGAAAGGAGGTTAAAGAGTTGATCACGAGAATGACTTCAAAATTTAGGCACATTTCTGCCAACCACCTGAGTTTTGCCAGATCTGCATTCAGAAACACCTTATCTGAAGCAAACCCAGTGATATAAGCATAATGTCCTGTATCATTCAGCTACTGTCTACTGGTGCAGAACTGAAGCCCCCAAAATAGACAGAAACATCCAGACTAGGATTACTCCATGAACAATTCTTTTCTCCGGTCATAGAGGAAGGATAATTCTCACCCACATCTTTGTGAGAGTTGGAAATGCTTACTGAAGACATGAAGCAAGGCTCATGTGCCCCAAAACAGCTGTGCTGTTGATTGAACAAAAGGTATTGCTTTTTACATACCTTGCCTAAATGCTGATACCTTAGCAGACCCCTGATGAAAACTAGCAGTTTGACTTTTGATATTCACACTGATGAATGCAGAAAGCCATAAACTAAAAGTAATTTAAGCAATACACACATATAAAAAGTCAGTGAAACAATGCCTGCCCATGTAAAGAAGAAATGGAAAGCTTACCTTTGGGCCTGCTGGCCCTGGCAGTCCAAATGCTCCTGGCTGTCCTGGTTCACCCTGCAAGTAACAGCAATACTGGTGGTAAATGCTAACCTTTTCTATATAAAAGCTAGGATGGCTCAAAATAGTCATTACATACAACCTTAGAAATGGAAACTCTATCTAATAACTACAGTCCTGAGCATCATTACCCAGAGATCTGAAAGTCTGCAGTGTGCTTTCTTCACACAAATCAAAGCAGAAAGAGGCAAACTGAAAACTGAAGCAGCTATTCATCTGCTCTTCAAACACAATCACCTAAGTAGCAAGAAGTTAGTTCCCTAAGCTGTGTACAGCTTGCACTGACTACAGTCTACAAGCATGGATTCCTTGGAGACAGCATAACACATCTGGTTTTGAATGATGACTTCACAGTGCAAAAAATGCATCCTATGAGAAATTCTACAAGTCCAGGTATGTTACTGCGCAAGCCCAGACCATGCTACATGTGATGTGATGAAGTTGTGTTGGTTCTGGAAGCTATATTGGGAAGCTGTCATGTTTTATCCGTGAGTGTGGCACAAACTAGAAACAGGATGTAGGCAACAGGGGAAAAAAAGAGCTTTTCTGCTGTGTATCACTACTTTAGTGTATGCCTGCCCTTCCAAAGACTCAGTTCCTCAAGTTCCTCCAGTTACCAGCAATTGACTGCCACAAAGGGACAATGAATGAGATCATAAAGGTCCACCACTGGGAAAAAGAGAATTCAAAGGGATGATGATCAAGCAGGAAAAGCTCTAAAACACACCTATATTTGGTTTAGATACTGGAATGTGTGATTTGGATGCTTGAATATGATATGTAGATACTGGAAAATACGTTTGTGTTTTTATGTTTCATCTGTAGTCCTTTTACAGGCAGTATTTGGTATGCTGCCTCCTCCTTTGAGGTAACACTGCACCTCTTCCTTTGCTATTTAGCTTCAGTAGTGCACAAGAGGAGTTTAGGTGCTTGCTTCTGTGACCAGACACCTATTTTTCTTACCCCTGTCCGCTGTGGAAGTACAAGATGGTCCCCTGCAGCCCTGTCGTCTCCACCAGCCAATGACTCTTAGCCAGATTTAAAACAAATGGCCAAACTCTGGAGCTATTAACCAACACAGCCGCAGCAGAGGGTCCCAAGCCACAGGCTGCCATGACTGCCCTCTTTTCCATCTTAATGAATGGTAACAGAGCTGCTCTGGGAGCAAATCAGGATGGCTAATCCAGAAGAGTCCTGCAAACGTGTTAGGGAGAGTGCTGAGGCTATTAACCTCCTGCCATCTGTTTCTGCTGCTCCTAAAATGACTATACAAATCCCCAAGACATGCTTCACTCAATACAGATTGATTTCCACTGCCTGCCTTGCACTAAAAAGCAGGGATTACATGGAAGGAACAAAAAGGCTTACGACTTCTCCTTTTGCTCCATCCTTCCCAGGGGGGCCAGGTGAGCCCAGGGACCCCTGTAACAACAACAGAATCATCATCAGCACAGTATTAACACCCGTTGCAAGTGCGAGGACATGAGTAACACATCAAGACATGAATAAGAAATGAGGAGAATCATTTCAATGCAAACATTTATTATTTACAGTCTCTGGAGGGGCTGCTGCTGACATTAACACACTAGTTGACAGAGCAAGCTTGGTGCAGGATAATTTCTTTTTCCTTCTTCCCCCTCCAATAAGATGACACAGTAGCAGCTAAAGGCCATCTCAGTCCAGAAGTTATGTTATTGAAGAAACAACTAATGTTTCTGTATGTGGAGGCATTAGCACTGATCTGTTCTGTTCCACTCTTCTGTTTCAGAGTTTTACAAAGCTTAGACAAAGTTCCTGACCTTGCTAACACAAAACAAGAAAGCACACAGGTAAAACAAAAGACTTACTTAGAAGAGGAGCTGTTTTCATGAGCCTTCCACAATAGCTTTATAAACTCTTAAACTTTTCACAGTAGAATGAATTAAGACTTGGACTTACTTTTTCTCCTTTATCCCCTTTCAGGCCAGGAAAGCCGGGAGGCCCTTCTTCACCCTACAACACCAATGGAAATAATACCTCATATGAAATGCCATACCATTCCCTGGTATATCTGTGTATTTTGGACAACACAGTTACAATCTATTGAGAGTTGAGGTCAACTCCTCCTCCCTGTTGTAAGACTGCTGTTCTCAGTCACTTGTAACTTGCTCATATTCAAACAGCTTCACTTTCAATTCTCCATTCCAGTGTCTTCCTCTGGCTGATCCCTCCTCCCCATCTTTGTGTAAACACCAAAGAATGAGGACTTGAAATTTGGCACAGCTAACATACGGTCACACCAAATGTCCAATGGCATGGGAATTTCCTGAAAAAACCAAATGTGGGAATTTTTTCCCCTTTACCTGCTCACTTTATGCCAAAATGTAACCTTGGAATCCACTCAATCTAGACCTTATCAGTAGGTCTGGATTTTACAAGAGATGTTGCTGTAAGTCCTTTAAAGGACTGTTGCTAGTGTCTCTTCTACCTGAAAGAGCAGACACCAATTTGTGGGCTGTAAAGCCACTAGCACTGCTGGCAGATGACATGTCACAGAGCAGAGCTAAGTGATTGGGAGCTTTTTCCTCCATCTGCTTTTGTAAAAAACTCAGTAACACAGAAAAATCCTTTTGAAAGAGCATTAACGTGGCTAAGCAGTTGATGCATACCTTTCTAAGTTGCTGGTATATACTTACAGAGGACTACCTACATGTGCAAATAAATTCAGGCCAAATTCTGCCACATTTAGTCTTATTTGTGACGTAATTTTCCCACATGAGTAGTCCAGCAGATGGATGGATTCCCAGGGCAAGTTTCCCATATCAAAGTGAAAAAATATGGCCTTTTTTATTTACAGGTATATTTTGCACTTAAAAGTCAAGATAGTACCTCAAAAGTATCTGTGCTGTATATGCAAATTAAAGTCATTGAACATTTTTATGATTATATTTCTTGCCAATTGCACCTTCATGAAGCACACTGTCTAAAACTTGCAATGCAGATTGAGGTGAAAATCAGATCTGCTGTATCTGAATGGCTCCTTAATGGGAAAGAAAGCTAATCCAATAGCAAACGTGAGTTTTAAGGAAATCATTTGCTCAAAAAGGCCGATATAACTTGAAGGAACTGCTGTTGAATGGCAGAGTGGGCAGCATAGGTAGGAATAAAATCTGTGCCTTTTCTATGCAAAGTAAAGGAATTTGGTTAATTAGCTTCTTCTTTTGCCTTCTCTTCTTTTTCCCCTTTTATTCTCCATGAAGTATCAACTTCTTGGCACAGCTGCACAAATTAATCTTAGCATCAGTCAGTAAGTTTGATGCACAGTGTTCACAGATCCATTCATGCTGGACAGGACCTCATAAGGTTTCTAGTCCAACCTCCCACTCAAAGCACCATCAACACTGAATTCAGACCAAGTTGTTCAGAGTTTATTCAATTTGGAGTTTGAAAACCTCTGAAAATAAGGTTACTCCTCTTCCCAGATGCAAATGGTTACTTACCTCCTAAGACAATAGCATCCCAGGAAGAGAAAAATGCTTTTCCTATTGCATTCATTATTTATTAACTAAAGCAGCATGATTTTGTCCTTTTGATTTTTAACAGATCTCAAGCAGTTGCCTACAAAGATGGGGAGCCCCCAGCAGATCTGTTGGCCCTCACAACCAAGAGGCTATATGGGCATTCGCAGAAAGGCACTTTGATACCCCTTTTGGTGACCATACAGGCCACAGAGAGCTGGTCATTCTCAACTCCCACCCTCAGACCAGGGTCACCAAGCAAGGAAGAAGGGCTTCAGTATGAACCATGCTCAGGGAATATATGATCCAGTGATCACTCCAAAGAGCTCACTAAAGGCTTTTTCTTCACTGGTATCTACTGCCACTGCCTCTCTTGCTGCATAAACTGAAGCACCACTTGCCACATATCAGCCAGCATGGCACAGAGCTGACCCTTTATTTCCAGTAAAGCTAGAGAGTTTTACCAGTTTGCAGGGGAAATCTTTGAGTATGCATCAGCTTTACTTGTTCCTCTCCAAGGAGAAAACTGCACAGAAACAACCTAGACCATAAAGACAGGATTAACGTCCCCTGGGGAACCACCACTGAACTCCACCAGTCTTCAGAGTAGAAAGGGTTGCTGTATCTCTCCCTTCCACTGAATCCCCATTATCCCCAGGCAGCTGCTTTGTATCCCTCACTAAGAAAACAAAACCTGTCAGGCTAAGAACAGGTTCAGAAGACATTTGGACCTTAATAAAAGCACAAGAAGAGATTGTGTTGCCTATGTCAAAACACACTCACAAAGCAAACTGTGTAACCTACAGGAGCGTGTAGTGGAAGACAGCAGGAAGCAGAAAAGCATCGGTGCTGCTGTGCTTGCAGAGTGCCAAAGTATCTGTGACAGGCAGGGATGGGAAAGCAACCAACAGCTTGCACCCTTAACTCACAGCCAGCCATCACAACCCCACTGACGATGCAGCTAAGTGGAACGGAGTCATGCTGCCAGAGCAATTCACATCACTGAGCAAATTTCTTCTTCTTTTTTGCTTTTGGCACTAACCAGCTTCATGAATTGCATTGCAGAAAAAAAAAATAAAAAATCACATTTTCTTTTAATTTGTCCACCAATCTTATTAATCAGGTAAAATCTCAAGCATTGTAGTCAGCATGCTGCTAAGACCTAGGGAAGTGGTGGCATACCCAAAAGGTATTCCCTCCCCTTAGCCCTTCCAATCAGGTCAGTTGGGTTAGCAGAAGAGCTCGCCTCTCTCCCTCCACCACTGTGGATTGAGGGGCTTTACTGGTGTGTATATATCTTGGAAACCACTTTCTAAACCCAGGAAAAGTTGCAGTTAGAAAATAACAAAAGTGGCTGAAGAATAAATCCTGAAATCATATTGTTCAAGAGGAGTTACCAAAGAATCTGGTTTGGGTTGGTTTGGAAGGGACCTTAAAGCTCATCCAGTTCTAACCTCCTGGCACAGGCAGGGACACCTTCCACTAGAGCAGGTTGCTCCAAGCCCCTGTGTCCAACCCGGCCAGGGATGAGGCAGCCACAGCTTCTCTGGGCAACCGGTGCCAGTGTCTCACCACTCTCACAGGGAAGAATTTCTTGCTTGTATCTAATCTAAACCTACCCTCTTTCAGCTAAAGCCATTATCCCTTGTCTTATCACTACTTGCTCTCATAAAAAGTTATTACTGGGAAGCTTCAGCAATAGTGCTCAAAAGGAAGGCCACAGATTTTCCGCAGTACTTTTCCTTTCCAGGCTCATGAGCATCTTGTCTTTTCCTTATCCAGTGGAAAGCCAGCCACTTCAGCTTGGTTTCATCCTCTGTGCTGAACAACCAGTGACCTTCAATCAAACATTTCCACTGAAGTTAGCAAGAGAACAATTCACCATTGACATAATACTTGTCAAACTGCCATCTGATCTAAAGCAACCAGAGGACTTTTCTTGCAATACAGTTGTGAAGTGCAGTCAGTCACACGGAATCAGATGCTGCTGAGCAAGAGAGGGCAGGCAGGTAGTGCAAGCAATGAAGCCATATGCTGACACAAACTGTCAGCATACAGAGGTTACATAGTGCACAGGTAGCTACATATTTCTACAAATGCCACTTCTCACTTTTCAGTAGTTATTCAACCATTATTAACTTATATTACAGCAACGCCTCTTTTGTTCCCTGATTGGGTCACTCTGCTGGACACTGTATGAATAAATACTAAATGACAGTCACTATGCTCCAAAGCTCAGGTTATAATTGCAAACAGTGTGTAAATATAACACAGAAATAGCAGAGGCAGAGAGCACAGGCCAATGAAATAGCTGCCAAGTAGACACAGTGTACAAGCACTCTGGGCTGGAGGATCCAGGCACCACACTGGGAAAACAGGTAGGGTTTGGCAGCCCTGGGGAAGATAAGCCCATCACATTCCTTGCGTCAAGGCCAAACCTGGTTGTGCCACTGAGAGGGATAAAAATAATCCTATATCCCACCAGGATGGCTACACTCCCAGTTTCAACCTGGTGGGAATCTGGTGCTGACAGGTAAACCTACCTGTTTATGCCATGCTTTTCTACTGCCACCTGTCTACTTTATGGATGCCTGAACTTCAAAGGTTGTCCCTTTCTGGAGAAACCTCTAGACCAGAATAGGAAGATAAGAAGGACCAGGGAAATGGGAAGAAGTAGCAAAACCATAAGAAACTACTGATGAGGAAAGAAACATCTTCCAAGACAGTTTACCTTAGCCCACATTTTCTGGAGTAGTTTTACATTTTAGATGGGGTGACCTATTGCTTCCTTGGTCAATAGTTTTGTGGACAAAAACTCTCAAATGTGTAGGTAGTGGTACCTGTGAGGAAGTGCATTAATAAATATGGCAGCTTGGCTTGGGAAGCTAAAATACTGAATACTGAGAAAGTAGCACCAGGCAAATC